CCCCAAAACCCCAAAACCCCAAAACCCCATTCAATCGTTCTGACATTGAAAGTAACAGAAAGCAAGAAATATCAAGAAGTCAATGATGCTTAATGAAATGTTTGTCCTGATCATACACTAAATGTTATCCTAGTGGTTGCATTATTTATTTTGGTGTATACATACTTCATAATTATCATAGTTATTAATATCAAGAAAGCCAATGAAAGTAATTTATCAACTCTTCTAAGAATTCTAACCAACTCTCTTCAAAATAGCCATCGCAATGTCAATAACTTCAGAACTTTAATCTACACTAGTCAACGTCTTCCTCCCTTTATATAGGGTCGGTGGCTCATCTTAATCATTTTCCTCATTTGGTTACTTCGTTTCTGATCACAAAGTTAAAGACCCCTTCAGTTCAAACTCTGTTCCAAAGTTGTTTCTGATGTTATTTTTACCCTTGGCTATATTTTGATTTATCACATTAATGTGGGGAATAATTCTCATTACACACATTGATTGGATAAAAGATTTCAAGAGAGATATAGTAATTTCAATCATCAGCATCCTCTTACTCCTTCATTTAGCATTAATGCAATCTGGAATCAATGCATTCAGATGTGTTGCTATTGATAGAACATTAAGAGCTGCATTAATCGGTACAGATATTGAGTGATACTCATCGACTCATCTCAAGTAGTGTCTGCTAATAGTCCTCCCAATTCTATTAATCTGGGTCACAATGGTCCTACCTCTTGGCTTAGTGGTTTTGTACAAAGCAAGGAAAGCGAAGAACCATAAAATCCTTGGCCACTTCTTGATTTTGTACCAAGTTCAAAGAGAGGACAAGTTCTAATGGGAATTTGTAAAAACCCTCGGAAAATTGCTAATTGCGATTACATTGTTGTTTGTATAACAGTTACAAAATTGGGTTATCACTTAGAATCATGGCAGCAAATGAAAGAATCGAAAGGAGGCTAAACCCATATAAAACTGATGAAAACAACAAGGTTACATTACTCTCCACGGTTGCAGGAAACATAACTCTGAACTCTAGCTTTGCTTATGAACAAGATGAAGGTATGGGTACTCTTGACTAATGACTCATGAATCCTGGTATTTGTTATAGCTATCAACACCAAGTTCATTCTAGATCGGTCTTACTTGTGCCTGAAATGTTGAAAGAGTAAATCTAGAATCATTGAATATGTAAGACTTATTTATTCTGTTAGTAATTTAATACATCTAGGCATTTGAATGTTTATCAAAATTGTTATGCAAGAAACAGCCAGAGATGAAACAAAGCGAAAAATGTGCCAGTAAAAATCAACAGGTTCCAAATGATTTTGATAATCGCAGTTGAAGCAGAGTCCTCTTAGAGCCTAAAGAAAAGAAAAGAAGAAGATGATTTAAAAGAAAGAAGAGAGATAAAAAGACTAATGAGTCAGATTTTGCGCTAAATTTAGAAAAACCCTATAAAGAGAGAAAACTTTAAAGAGGCTAAAAGCCGAGTACAAGAAACTGCTCTACTAGTAAGATTTCTCTAACCGTAGAATTTGAGTTCAAAATCTCTCAGCAAGGTTTCTTTAGACTGAGTCAAAGATTTTTCTGCAGGTGAGTTCAATGGCACTTAAAATTTTAATTTGCTGAATTGATAAACTTCAAAGTCACAATATGGAAAAAGCTTCATATAATTTGTGTATAGAGAGAATAAGGGAAATTAAGAGAAAGGATCAGAAAAGTAAAGCTAGAAGGATCAAAGAATCTTCAAATATGGTTAAAGTATTTAAGGAGCTAAATGAATAATAACTAGTTGAGATATTTAATTTAAAATAAATAAAAATTAAATATCGTATTTTTGCATCTACCAGAAATCTTAAGTTATCAATTCAAACTCTATACCCCGGGGTTTTGGGGTTTTGGGGTTTTGGGG